CTCTGGGGACGATGACAGCTAGTGGAGCCCCGAGGAGGCTACGAGTCAGACAGAGAAGCCAGCAGAAAGGACTGAGATTTGGGTAAAGTCCGCAGGTTAAGAACTCAGGTCTATGCTGGCCGTCTGGAGGATGGAGACGGTTCAATGTAACGGATTTTACGAAGCCTCAATTCTAAAATAAAAGCAAGACAAAGCCTTCCAGGCACGCAGGATGGAAGGTGGGAAATGAGATGGCTGGGAGGACAGTTAAGTTGTGTGTGTGTGTGCGTGTGTGCGTGTGCACGTGTGTGTACATGTGGTCAGCTGCAGTGTCTCCCTTGCTTAAATTCCTGTGCCTTGTTCTTCTACGGGATCTTGGAGCAGATGCCAAGGACATGGCTTCTCCCTCTCACGTCTGTGCAGTTCCCTGTGATCAGACGCTGCTCTATCTGTGGCTCAAGGCTGGGGGTGGAGGGGTAAAGGAGGGTCCTACGTCCCCACAGGTGCCCTAGGGAATTGTGCTTATGGTGGCTTTTACCCCACCCCTTTCTGAGAGAGAGGGAGAGGTGAGGGACTTTGGACAGGGTCTCAGGTGCTGCGCTCCCCTGCCTCAGACCTCAGCCTCCTGGCCGCCGGGATTTCTGTACAGTGCCCCTTTCGGTTGGTCCAGGATCTGAACCCAGGCCTCCCACGTACCTCCAGCCTCACATGGCAAGGCCCCGCCCCTGTGCGACATGGCAGCTGGCCAGATCTTAGCCTTTTATCGTCCTCCCAGGGAGTGTGTTCTGGTCTATTCTCAGGCTCAGCAGCACCCCTTTCTAGCAGGTCACCCCAGTGTGTTTTTGGAGGGGCCAGCGGTTTAGGACTGTAGGAAAACTGCCTTTTCGTCCTCCTGACAGTGACTCCCAGGATCCTGAAAGCTATGACCGAGCGCCAGTCGGAATTCACCACTTTCAAGCGGATCCGCATAGCCACGGGGACCTGGAACGTGAATGGGGGGAAGCAGTTCAGGAGCAACCTCCTTGGGACGGCGGAGCTGGCAGACTGGCTGCTCGACTCGCCCAAGCTCTCAGGGGCTGCCGATTCCCAGGGTGAGGCAGCTCCCCGGAAGCCAAGCACACGCCGGCCAGGCTGGCTGCCAGGCGGGAGCCCCCTCACCATGCCGCGGGGAGTTTGGGAGTGGGAGCTCTCGGTCCCTGGTCTGACCTGGCCGAGCGCTGCCTGGCAGACGCACCGCTGACCCAGATCCGAGTCATTAGGGCTATTTTGTCGTCAGGAGGAAGAGGTGGTTTCTAGGCCCCGGGCTGTTTGATGTTGCCGACCCGCATCTTCTCATCCCTGCCTTGCTCAAACCAGCTATAGTCGTCTCTTACAGGGCGCGTGCGCTCGCCAGAAAGACAGAGAGACAGAAAGCGAGAAATCACCCCCCAGGGGGATGGCCACGCCGCGATCCCTTCTCCTCCATTCTCCTCTCAGGATCTTGGGCACGCATGCACATGCGCCCGGCGTGAGCTTAAGCCACCAGGTCCGGGGCTCAAAGTACTGTCGGCTACATGGGAGTCCAGTGACATAGCCAGTACGTCTGCTGGTCCCAAAAGAATGCTTAAAAAAAAAAAAAACGAAAAACAACTTGCTTGAGGGCCTCTACACTTGCCAGAGGAAGAGGCGGGAGAGGAAGCGAGTGCCACCACCTTCTCTGTTTCTCCATCCTGCCGGGATTTGGGGCACACATGTACACATGCCTGGTGTGGTTTTCAGGCCTCCAGGGCTGGGATTTGAACTGCACAGTTGGCCATGTGAGATTAGGCCCTCTTCATTGCTAGGCCATGGGCTGACCTGAATTTGGGTACGTTTTAAGAATAAGTTAATTTCAGGCCTAGCAGTTAGAATAATGGCTATGTTGCTGGACTCCCATGTAGTTGACTGCAGTTCAAGTCCCAGACCCGGTGGCTTAAACTCACGCCAGGTGCATGCGTGCCCAAGATCCCGAGGAGAGAATGGAGAAGAAGGGATTGTGGCGTGGCCATCCCCCTGGGGGGTGATTTCTCACTTTCTTTCTCTCTGTCTCTCTTTGTCTTTCTGGCAAACACACGCGCCCTATAGCAAAAACCTCTCAAATAAATAAATAAAGTAATTTCAAATTTCACACCCCACCTTTTGATCCCTGCCATGCAGTACACCATAGAATGGCCTCCGTGTTCAGAATTTGAAGAGTAAGTGGGTTTTTCCAGGCAGCTTTTCCTCGGGGCTTGCTTTGTCCTCCTTCCTTACACTCAGAAAGATTCCCATTATGCAGTTCGTGGCCTACCAGAGAGTGGCCTACCAGTAGCTCCACTGTCACACAGCAGGCTGGCGTAGGCCATTCCAGATGGCCCAGGGGTGTCTGGAGGCTGTCCCTGACTGCTGCACACACTAGCCGTCCACACCTCCTGTGGGCCTCAGGGCAGGAAGCAGAATCCACAGCTCGGAGTGACAGGATTGTCCCTGTCAGCGGTGGCCTGTGTTGTCGCATCCCAGTCTTGGAGGCTTGAAAAGCACGCTGGGCATGTGTGCATGCGTGCCCTGCATCCCGGCAGGGTGGAGAAACAGAGAAGGTGGTGTGGCTGTGCTCCATGGAGGGGGCCTGCTTCCTCTCCCCCCCTCCAAAACTTACCCTCCCCCCGGAGCAGGCCGTGACACCAGTCACTCCGCTCTGTGCCTTCAGGAGAGGGCGGTGGCCATAGCAAGAGGGCAGTTAGTTTGCTGGGGATGGTGGTCACCTGTGGTCCCACCAGAAACCCCTGGGGCTGGGAGAAAGGAGTCATGGTACTGTCACCAACCAGATGGGGCAGAAGGATGGATTGTTTTCTTCAAAACCGAAACAAGACAGCAAACGGTTGGCGCCATGGCCTAGTGGTTAAGGGAGCTGAACCCCAGCCACAGCTCAAACCCTTGGCCCCAGCGGCTCGGGAAACATGCCAGGCTCGTGCGCCATGTGTGCCCCAGGTCCGGACAGGGTGGAGAAATGGACTCGGTGTGGGGGAAGCTCCCCTCAGCCAAGGCCGGACTAAAGGTTCTTGGCATTTGCAGGGCCTGCTCCAGGGCGGCGCTTGCTGTCCTTTTGGCAGAGGAAAAAAGAGAGGTTCAAACAAGCCCCAGATATGCACAGGGAGGGGAAACAACAGCGATGAAGGGGTGGGACGAGGGCTCCTGGGGCTCAGGCCACTCAGGCTGAGCGGACTTGGGCAGTGGACAGGGCTTGGAACAGAGAAATGGGGAACGCCAAGAACCGGTAATGCAGAACCTGACTCCTGTCTCCTGCCCGTTCCCCAGACAGCAGCCCGGCTGACATATTTGCTGTGGGGTTTGAGGAGATGGTGGAGCTGAGCGCAGGGAATATTGTCAACGCCAGGTAAGGGGCCAGGCCTCGGGGGTGGGCTAGGGTCTTCCTGAGCCAGGTGCCTGGCAAGAGCAGGGTCCCCAGGCTCTCCAGAGCCATGTGCTTCCGAGCCAGGGAACCTGTGACCTGGGGTGCTTGCAGTGAGCTCGTCCCCCTCACGTGTGCACGCCCCCTT